GGTGCTGAAGCATCCTGATCCTGAACAACCCTTTATCATCCAAGCAGATACTAGTGACATGGCAGTGGGAGCAGTGCTACTCCAAAGAAATAGTCAAGAAAAATCACAGTCCTGTGACTACACCTCCTGTAAACTCATGGACACAGAGAAGTGCTGGGCCACATGGGAAAAAGAGGCTTTTGAGGTAAGATGGGCACTGCTAACCTGGTGCCACCTTCTGGAAGGGAGGGAGAAACCATTTGAAGTCTGGACTGACCACAAAAATCTGGAGGTCCCTTAGGACCCTGCGAAAACTATCGACCAAACAAGTCCACTGGCACAATTCTTCAACCGATTCAATTTTGTGCTAAAGCACATCCCAGAGGGGAGGAATTTCCTAGCTGATGCCCTCTCCCGCATGACACAATACAAATGCAAATGGGAGGAGGTAGTAAATGCCATCGTCCCCCCTATACAAACAGCAGCCCAAGTGACCACCCGACGACAACGCCGCAACCAGCAAGACTGACCCACAAGTGATCTAACCACAAAACCCAAAATCGAACTGTTAGCAGACCCCTGGTTCTGTGACAGCCAACATATCTTGACAAAAAGGGAAGACCTAGCGTGGAAAGGGACAAAACTCTACATCCCAGAGTCCCTATGCACCTTAATCCTCCAGAGGAGCCATGGTGTCAAATGGGCAAGCCACTTTGGGTTCCTAAAGACTTTACACTTAGCACAGAGGCAATTTTGGTGGCCCGGCATGAAGATGTGAACGGTTATGTGAAAAGTTGCACCATTTGTGCCACTGTGAAAAGCGACCAGGAAACCCCCCTGCAACCGGTGGCAGAGCAAACGAAGCTATGGGAGGAAATCACAATGGACTTTATAGTGGAGTTGCCAAAGAGCAGGGCGGGGGGGAACACTGTGATCTGGACTGTGATTGACTTATTCTCTAAGCAGGCACACCTCATACCCTGCAGTGGACTACCCTCAGCCCACCAGCTAGCCAAACTGTTGCTGAAGCACATCTACCACCTGCGTGGAATGCCATGGAGAATAATCTCAGACAGAGGGGTCCAGTTTATGGCTAAGTTCTGGAGGGAGTTCCTGCAGTCCATTGGGTCATCCCAGGGCATTAGCTCAGCTTTTCATCTGGCTACCAAGGGGGGGGGGAAGAATGTCTGAATGCCATGGTAGAGTAGAACCTGAGGTGTTATATGAACTATAAGCAGCTCAATTGGGCAGATCACCTGCTTTTTGCTGATAATGCTTTTTGCTGAACAATAATGCTGTTCACAGTAGCAAGGGACTAATTCCGTTCAAAGTAGTGAGTGGCATGAACTTTGTCCCAATGGCAGAATACCCAAGGAATCTCCCCCTCCTCAATCAGCTTGACAGACTGTCAACGTTAAAAACAGCATGAGAAAACATCAAGAAAGCACTAGCTAAAGCGGCACAGACTACAAGAAGCAGGCAGACAAACACCAAGCCCCACAATGGCCATTCCAGCTAGGGGAAAAGATCTACCTTTCCACAAAATACTTGAGGTTAAAACTCCCCAGTAAAAAGCTGGGACCCACGTTTATGAGGCCATTCCCCATAGTGAAAGTTATCAACCCAGTCACAATGCAATTAAAACTGCACTAACTGCTAGGGAATATATACTCGATATTCCATAGCAGCCTCTTAAAAACTGTGTTTGGGTCAGTCCTGAGACCACTACCCCATGTGCCCCTGGACCCAGTGGTCATAGGTGCCCCAAACCCATTATGAGGTGTAATGCATCCTCAACTGTAGGTGGCACAAGATACAGCTCCAATATCTAATCAAGTAGAAGGGCTACCCCTTATCAGAGGAGTTTTGGGTAAAGAGCAGAAATATCCAAGTTGACCATCTCATAGCTAAATTCCATGAAAACAATCCAACAAAGCCTGGGGGGTGTTGCACCCCTAAAATGTATACCTGTATTCAAACTGTTTTTGCTTGCAAAGGGAGCATTCAGGAAGTGAGGGCAACTGAAGATCAACTTGCGAAGCATTCCTGACTTGCTCTCAAGGTGCCATAGGCAGGGGGATGGGGAATCGAGCCTTGCACTTGCATCCAGGAACTTGCATTTCAGTCAAAAAAGCACATTCCAACTGGCAATGTCAAGGTCATCTCCAGGGTGACCCACAGTGACTGGAGGGAGTGACTTCTAAAACCCACAAAATTGCTTCATTGGGGAATGTGACTGATGACACACCTTGGGGGAAGGGGAAACAGGGTCAGAGTCAAGGCGCGAATTAAGGTCAGAGTGGGATTCACTTGGTTCGTCTCGACATGAAGCTCCTAATAAATAACTGGATTTCTTTTGAAGCTTGGCTTGAGGTTCATGATTTAATTAGGGCATCAGTCGGAACCCTGACATAGGGGGGAAAAATCTAAGGAAATGAACCAGAGATTAATGCAGGCTAATAAAGAATTGGGGGAAACTGTAATTCAGTTGCGGATGGAGAAGGCTGAACATTTTCTGAGATTCCAGAATATTGAAGAAGAAAAAGAGGAAGAGGAATTGATGGCAAAGGCACTATGTTAGCGAAACAGGAGATGAGGGCTGAGTTCTAAACAAGAGATGTGGGCTGTGTTTAGAATACATACTAGTTATGCAAGAAAGAAGAAACTCCCAAGGAAGGTGCATATGAGATTCATGAAAAAAACCAGAGCAGACATTCTTTAAAAAGTAAGAGATTAACTGCTGAAATATAAAGGGAAAGAGATCATGGTTTTAACAGGTGCCCAGAAAAGTAAGAGATCTACGGAAGCAATACCAATTCCAAAGTGATAAAGGAACATATAGATCTAAAACCAAAAATATTTCTGTTTGGTATCACACCAGAAAAATATAATAAGAGACTATGTACTATGTAATACTACATGTGTTAACAGTGGCTAGAATTGTATTTGCACAACATCAGAAAAGTGTGGAGATCCCTACAGAAGAGAAGATAATTAAAAAAAAATCTAGAATGTGCAAAAATGGATAGACTAATACTTGAAATAAAAGAAAATTTATTTATTTATTTATTTATTTATTTATTTATTTATTTATTTATTTATTTATTTATTTATTTATTTATTTATTTATTTATTTATT